CAGATCTAATTCCATGTCAGAAGATTTTGTCTACAATTTAGTAAAAAATCATTAAGGATTTGAATGTAAATGAGAATCAAAATGAAATCACAATTTCTATAAAATTTCTTCCTAAAATAAAAAATTTCAGAAGAGTTTTTTTTTATCACTGATGTTAAAATTACATTACAATGAAATGATGGAACTGCTAGGTAACCTTGACATATGTGAGAAGGACATTAGAATAATCCAGAAGCTATACTGGCAACAAACTGCCTGCATAAAGATAGAAAATGAATTCAGTAAACATACAATAATAGAAAGGGGTGTAAGGCAAGAATGTATCTTCTCACCGGAATTAATTCAACGATTACAGTGAGACAATTCTGAGAGAATTAGAAGTCATACCAGTATACATAGAAAGGAAGCAACAAGAACTCCTACAGAAGGTAGTGAAGGAAAGCAAGGACTAAACATTAATTGCAAAAAGTGAGAATGCATACTTATTAGAAAAAGGAACAGTCTGTGGAGTTAAACCCACTTACTTTCTGATGTAATGGAATAACCTGTCACCGCCATGAGTCACTATACTATAGGTAGTAACTACCTATAAGTATCAGTAAGGCAATAGAGCTTAGCTGGAATCTGTTGAGTATGACTCAGATTTACACAACAACTACTGACCTTTCAATAGTAGCACTCAATACTGGATTGACTTGCGATGACTTTGTGCATAACTGTACCTTTATTCTTATTATACTGGTTTTTACAATAGACCTTTACTTATTTTATCTACGGTGTTTGTCAAGTATATATTCCAGTTAGCATGGAATATAACACTTTCCTAAAAAAAAAAAAAACACAGCTAGTATCATTCTCTGTCATTCTTTTTTTTTCTCCTATTTCACTCAGGAATGACGTATGTCGAATGAGGAAAACACTTTCCCTACTGGGGAATGCAACATGCATATACACATGCATGCACATACACACCTTTCATTTCATTTTCTCTCAGATTTTTTCCTACACCAAACTACACAGACACAAGCAATTCACTAGTTTAAATGTTTTCTTCATTCATGCTCATTCTCTTGGAAGATGCAACAATTTCCTATTGTCTATGTATACCTTTGTTTCATTAATACATACACTATCATTTGTTTTTATATATAGTTTTATTGTTACTTTGTCATTTTATTACCAAGACTCGCATATTGAGTCCGCCATTTTTGTTGTGGGATATATATACCAGGAGACACGTGTTTTCAACCTAAATACATGACCAGTATACACTCACAAGCCCAATATGTAAATTACAAATTGGGCATATCAAAATCAAATGTGTGCAGCAATTCAAATTGAAAGTGTTTTAACAGAGGATGGAAAGTGTGATGCTGAAATCCAAAGAGAGATTAGGATAGTGAAAGATGTCTTCGAAAAAGTTAAGCAAAGTATTAAGAAATAGAAAAACATCATTAGAATTAAAGAAAATAATACTGAATTGTTAGGTAATATGAGTCCTCCTTTATGGAAGTAAATACTGAACAATCACCTCCCAGTTTAAGAAGAGATTTGACTTGAAGCAACACAAATGTAGTTCTGCAGAAGGATGCTGAGAATACCATGAACTGAACATATGAGCAATGACATTTTAGAGAAAATAAAAACAAAAAGGACACTTGTATTTAACATCATAAAGTGATAGTTGAAAGATTCGATACGCACAGAATACATTGAAAATATGGGGGATAGAGGTAAATGATGCATGACCTATCTAGCAAGATGATTGAACAAGTTTTAGGCGAGATAACAAAAAAAACTTTTATTAAGAGTGACAAAGGACAGGAAATTGTGGAAAGCCATGATCGCTAATGTCCTAAAGAGACACAGCACATAGAATAATAAGAAATATGTTGACAAAATGCCCCCAGTATGGTAAACAAAATTGGAAAACTGAGTTGAAATTCTAACTGAAGTTGTTGGTGTTCATTATGTTCACTTGGAAGTAATATTCTTAAGAAAGGCATGAAACCACATTTCTCTTTACTCTTTATTAACACCTTGTATCTTGACAAAATGCTCTCAGTATGGGAAACACAATTGGAAAACTGAGTTCAAATTCTGAGTGAAGTTGTTTATATTCCTTATTTTCACTTGGCATTAATGCTCTTAGAAAAGGCATGAAACCATATTTCCCTTTACTCTTTAATATCTCCTAGTATCTCGACCAAATGTTCTCAGTAAGGGAAAGACATTTGTTAAACAGAGTTCAAAGTCTTCCTGAGTCTATTTATGTTCACTTGGCTAAAATGTTCTTAGGAAAGGCATGAAATTATTTCCCTATGTCACATCATCCGGTATCTTTACAAAATCTCTTGTCATAAGGATTCCTCTGCAGTTGATAAAGTTTTGGAAAAAACCATTTCCATAAAAACTCCCATAACTATCTTGCAATCAAGGCAGGCAGTTACAGCAAAATGCAGTAACACCAACTGTCAACCATAAAGGATAATATTCTGTCATTTTTTTTCTGTTTTTCCTGTTTGTTTATACATGTGGATAAAAGCACAGATTTAAAAACTCTCAACTGCAATCATCTGTAGACACTGGCTCTAGGGATCTTAGTTTATTCTGATAAGTGAACAGTGTTTTATTCTTCAATGGAGATACATCACAAAAGTCTTTTACTTACTAAAAAGGGAGGTACCAAGTGGTCAGAATATTTGTGGACACTTGAACTCATGAAGTACCTTAAAGAATGCAAGATTCCCCATGAAGAAAAAGAAGAAATATAGGCTGAGAGAGCAGAAAAAGAGTAGGTGTATGTCGAGTAAGACAAGTTACTGAAAGAGAGGAAAAGAAAGAAAATGTGAAAGGGAAAAGAATACAAAAAGAGAAGGAGATTATGAAAGAAGAGATTAACAATGTAGAGAAAAAAAAAGAAGAGGACAAATATTTCCTTGTTTGCTCAAAAATTATTGTAAGTACTTTTGTTTAGACATAAAATAACTATCAGATCAAATAAGTTTTTGTCTTTCAAATCATTATTTATTGATGAATATTCTCAAATATAGAATCAAGTTCTTCATCTCGTACTAGACAAAACAAAAATGCTAGCATATTTTTGAACATAAGAAAATCAGTGTTTAAGCTTTGTGTCCCTTTTTTGGGAGATGAAGAAATTCTTACATCTGATAAGTTTCAGGGCACTTGACCAACTTTTGAAATGTGATTTTTTTTTTTTTTTAATGGCCTGTAAATTGTAGCAGAATATAAATGTGAGCTTGATAAAATGAAAATAAAACAAAGATATTCTTGTTTCTATAATTCATTATTAAGAACTAACAGTTCTTTATCAGAAAATTAAACACACACACACATGTATATATTTAGATTTAGAAAAAGAAAGTTTAAGCATAGAAATCAAATTTGGATGGTAACTATCACTTTCATGTTTCAAGCAATTTTCAAAAATTAAAAAAAAATTTTTTATAGTAAGGTTCACTCCGTACAAGCCTCGTGGGTGGGGAAAACTTGAGGTAGAGGGTTACATTAAGGGATAGTTTATATGGATAGGAAGGGAAGATATTGGTTAACTCTAAACTTGAACAGGTTAAGATTGTAGTGATTAGGAAAACACCCTCTTGGGAGTCTGAGCATTGGTTCATGGGAAGAAATTTTTGAGGTGAAACTTCTCGCCAGTGGAATACGAAGGGAATGTGGGTGGTTTGCTACTATATAAGTGGCATGATGGGTCCTATATATATATATATATATATATATATATATATATATATATATATATATATATATATATATATAGTTTATGAAAACTAGGTAATCTGTATGGGTAGACCCAAGGAGGATAAAATCCAGAGAGCTCAATGTAAATCCAGAGCAAATAATTTAAATAAAAACAGACCACTTTAAGATTCCATGTAATAAATTATTTCACCACAGCCCTTTTAAAGGACTGCAGATCATCAGACTTTATTTCCAAAGGTTGAAATATATATATATATATGTGTACAGGACCCGGCATGCCACATAAATAGTAGCAAACTATATATATATATATATATATATATATATATATATATATATATGTAATAATTGAAAAAGTGCATACACATTTTGGAAACAATTAATATCAAATCTAAAAACCCAACCATAAATAAAATGCCATTTAACACTCATACAAATGCACTAAACATCTCTAATAAGTGACATAACCAGTTACATTTGAAACACCTAAACACCTCCACCAATAATAAACTAATCCCTGTTGTAGACGCCTGCTCAGGCACATTTTTTGTTTGTTCACAACCCACAGAACCCACCTGTGATTTATACTGCAGCTATGCTGACATTAGTTACAGTTTCTGGAAGAGAGTGCGCTGTCTTGTGTGATCAACAGTCTGAACAAGGCCAGCATGCTCAAACTCTCGGTCATGATGACTTGTGACTTTCTGCTAGTACAACCATTGATGGCTCCCATGGATTTCCATCTACCCAACTTCACTCACAAAAGGCTTCGGTCAACCTGTGGTATGATATATATATATATATATATATATATATATATATATATATATATATATATATATATATATACGTACACACATTCACTCACACATACTTTGAATCGCAAACTTTCTACATTCATTTGTCCACACACATTATTGTTTTTGTCAATTGTAATCTTTGTTGTTAATACATATTCATTTGTTTGTACATATATATCATTTCATGTTGTCACTTTATATTTCTTTTAGGTGGACTCATAATCCGAGTCTGCAATGTTTGTTGTGGGCATTTCAGGAGACACACATGTTCATCTCACAACAGGCCTGCAACAAACTCACTTCCAAAATATGACTCCATGACTAAACATAAGGACTCTTTCATAACCAATAAGGAATTAAACCTTATTGGTTAGGCCAAGAACATTTTACAGGGCCTTCCTAAGTTTAGGTTAGTTCTACAAAGGACCAAACAGACCTGTGATTTATGCTGCAGCTATGCCGAGCACTCAGTACAGTATAATAACCTTTTCCTCTTTTTCTTCCTTTCAGTTCTTCTTCCTCGTTTTTCTTTCTTTCAGTTCTTCTTCCCCTTTTTTCTTTCTTTCAGTTCTTCTTCCTCTTTTTCTTTCTTTCAGTTCTTTTTCTTCTTCTTCTTTTTGCCCTCCCAACTTTTTTCTTATGATTCTTCTCCTCTGTGTTCTTCCTCATTTTTTTTTTTACTCAGTTCTTCTCCCACACTTTGTCCTTTCCTTTTTTGTTGCTTTTAGTTCTTCTTTCTCTTTTTTTTTTCTTTCCTCTTTTTCTTTCTTTTGGTCCTTCTTCCTCGTTTTGTTCTCTCTAATATTTTTCTTTAGGTTCTTCCTTTTCTCTTTGTGCTTCCCTTTTTCTTTCTTTTGGTTCTTTTTCCACTCTTTGTCTTTTCCTTTTTTTCCCCTCTTTTGGGCTGTGAGGTGCAGGGTGGGGTGGGGTGGGGTGGATATTTGCTTTTTTGTTCTTCCCCATTATTTCTTCATTTTACTTCTAACCCTTTACATTACAGCTTTTATCTTTCTATGATTTCTTTTCTTCTTATGGACAATCCACTTTTAACTTCTTCTTTTGTCTCCTCCTCCTTCATCCTCCTCCTCCTCCTTTTTCCTTCAAAACTTCATTTTCTTTCATTTGTCTTTTTCCCCCATTTTTCTTTTTATGCCCTTCACACACACACACACTTATGTATGTATAATTTCTATTTTTATTAGATTTAATGTTCAGAGTAATAAAACCAATACACTCAACTTCTTCAACCAAAGACCCAAGATTCCCTAACTGACCCCTTTTACTTCATCTACCCATGAACCTGATTCTTATTCCCTTCCTCCTTCCATTCTCTCTCTCTTCCTTCCTAAAACCCATGGGATTTTCCAGTTTGATAAGAGTCTAACCACAAAGGACCAGACATGAAAAGCTTATAAATTTAATTGTTGTGCCTATTGTACTTCTTTTAGGAAATTCCTCAGTTAATTTACACTGAAAATGGTCTTGTGTACAAGAGGAAAAGAAAGAGAGATAATGACAATGTTACTAAGTCTTGCACTAATGTAACTTTGGTAGTGGCTAGTAAAGTCTGCCTCAAGTTTGCTGGTTCTTTCCTTCAGTAGGCTCAGGAACAAACTAATTTAATCAAATGTCTAATCAAGACTTTTTATGTTCGCCCATTATGTGAAGCCAATTATTGACTTCAAATTTTTTCTAATCATAGATATAAAAATGAATAAAATTCAATGCTTGTTTTTGTAAAGACTGAAATTACTGTTCAGTCAATATGAAAGTCTACTTGGTGATTTGTTTTTCCACCATTTTTTTCAAAGGAGGGAGCAGTCAATGTCTTTTCCTTTTCTCTCTTTTTTTTTTCTTTCCAAGTTTCTTATATTTTTTCTTATATTTTTTTCTTCCTTTCCCCCCACCCCACTTAAATTTTCTTTTGAAACTTCTTTGCTTTTTTTATTTCTATATTGTTAAAGTAGTTTATTGTTTATCTGTAAGACAGTTTTCAGAAGGCAGTCAAATTGTGTGCTTGATTATTTTTTTCTTTTTATTATAAGTAATTTTTCTTAATTTTTTTCAATCCGTATAGGTTATTTCATGTTTTTTTTTTTTTAATTATTTAACTTTTCCATCAGTTTTGTTTTCTTGATTTATTTTATAAACCAATAAATTATTTGGTTGATCTAATGAAAAATGAAAGTCACCACCCTAGCATGCACCCCACCCAATCTGAAAATTGAAAGCTAAAATAAACTGGAAGGACATCAAAGAAATAAAGATATCAACAGAAAATGGTGAAATATATATGATGAAGAAGCACAATAAGGAGACAAATTAATAAAATTCTGAATGAAATATTTGTTGTGTATGGCCATAAAACTTATTGGCAAATTATCTCTGTCTTTTTTAAATGGTAAAAAGTAGTATCAATCATTTTTTTTTAAAAATCTACTGAAAACGAAAATAAAAATAAATCTATTCACACATACCTAAATATAATATTTTGCACTTCCTATTAATATATCAACATATACAACTCCTATATATATATATATATATATATATATAATAACTGGCTACTTCTATTTGAGGATACCCGTCTACTAGAGTGGCTAGTCAATCCGTATTGCAGACTCTCACTCAGGCACATTTGTGTTTTCTCAACACCCACAGAGCCCACCTGTGGTTTATACTGCAGCTATGCTGAGCAGATTTCAGTTACAGTATCTGGGTGAGAGCGTGTTACTTAACGTGATCAACAATTTGAACAAGGCCAGCACGCTCAAGAATTCAGCCATGATGACTTGTGGCTTCATGCTAGCACAGCTATTGATCACCCACAAGAGTTCTCTCTACCCAATTTCATTCACAAGGCTTGGGTCAGCTCATGGTATGGTTTTCAAGCTCTTTCCAAAGGTGTCACACATTGGGATCGACCGTGATCCAGTCCAATAACATCAAAAACTTGCCTTCCTGACAAATCGACCATGGTGAGATTCAAACCCATGTCTCATGGTCAGAAAGCAAATGTTCTAACCACTCGGCCACATGATTATAAATATATATATATATATATATATATATATATATATATATATATATATAACACTCAAACAGTTGACAGTATAATTCAGTGCAGCCAAGTAGAGGGGATATTATTTAGCATGCATTAACAGATTCTCTCCAAGGGGGTTACTCCATTAGAAGTGGGATGCCAATAAATGAAGTTTTCTACTATGTTACAATCACACAATAACCCAATAAGTATATATTTTACATGTTCAGAGAATTTAGCAAAACATTATATACTTCTTTTGGTGTTTCATTTGTTTTCCCAAAGTTAAAACCATTATTCAAACAACATGAATTAGATTCTAGAGAATTCTTTGAGACACCTGATGGTGATGCCAAAGGAAATCTTTTGAAAAGTAAAATAGATCCTTGGATGAGTGTGTAAGTTCTCAAGGGATTAACTTGGAAATGGATTAAGGTAGCATTATCTGAAGTAGGTTATTTTTTTAAATTAATACTAAAGGCCTGGATATATTCTTGACACCCCCTATATATATATATATATATATATATATATATATATATATATATATGGGGAAAAATGTATGACAAAGTGGAAAAAGTTTTCTTGTGTTTCATCCCTTGGGACTTCATCAGACTAAACTTGTTATGTTGCTGTGACTACACATGTTCACAAATAAGGGATGCTTGTAATTCTAAATTAAATCTTTTTTTATATAATCTAGCCAAATTCATTTAGATTCTTTTTCTGTTTGTTTCCTTCACTTTTTGTATTAGAATATCCCAAACTGTGATAAGAGGAGATCCACTCGGAATGGTGAAATGTAAGAGAGCCAGGGCACAAATTTACAGAGGATGAACTTGCAATCAAGGCACTTTCTAAACATTTTAGTTGTAGTGAATTGTTTTCGCCTTTGATCAGAGTAGCATTTTCCATGTCAAAAATGTGGCCAGTCTCGTTACAGTGGGCAACTTGCATCCTGGCTCTAATAAATTTAGTCCAATGATGTCCCAAATAAATGCATCACACAAAACTTTTCCACTTTGTCATACATTTTTCTCCCTAATATTCTTTTTGATATATAAACATTTATATATCATTATCTCATATATATATATATATATATATAGAGAGAGAGAGAGAGAGAGAGAGAGAGAGAGAGAGAGAGAGAGAGGAAGCACGGTGGAGTAATGGATAGCGGCTTGGATTGAGGAATCGCAGAGCCGAGTTCGAATTCCAGTCGAATCCATTACATTCACTTACGTGCTAATACCCTTGGGAAAGGTATGAATCCTCTTCCTCTCCCTCCAGCTATGGGCAAAATAGCAGGATAGACTGGGTTCTATAGCCTTAGATGGCAACTGGTCTAGGAGAAGGACAACTCTGAATTCAAAACCTGCGGAGGGTTGTTTGGGAACCTTGTGGCACTCGGTGCACCAGGACTCTGTATTCGTCCCTTCAAAAAGTGTGGATGGTCCTGCTCGAAGCCTTCACCACTATAATCAAATCTCATGTGCCATTGTTGGGCTGTTGGTTTCCTGGTAACTGATCTGATTGACCCTTATACGTCAAATTTCGACGGGAGAGTCAACTATATATATATATATATATATATATATATATTGATTGATTGATTGATTGATTTTAATTTTAGCCTATCAAGCCTTTGCATGCTATTTAAAGCTCAAAAATATCTTTAGATTGTAAGATGATAGTTTTTTTGTGGGGGGATAATAATAATTACTAATTAGCCCACAGCTGGGGGGGAGAAGAGGTGAATTTATACCTTTCCCTAAAATATTTATGTGTATGTGAATACAAGGGACTCAACTGAATTTGTAATCTGGCTCTCAATTACAAGCTATTATCCATTACACCACTTTCACATCCAAACTTACAGCACCTGAGTGGTCACCTATCTAGGTACTGACCAGACTTTATGCTGCTTAACTTTGTTGTTCGTATGGGAACTGGTGTTTCAACACTATATGGTCATAAGCATATATATATATATATATATATATATATATATATATATATATTAGCAGCATGGCCCTGCGTTGCCTGTGCTTGATTCAAAAATTGTACGTCTCATACAGCAATCGCTATCACTTGACTTTAAATATTTTTGCCCTTCCTTGCCTTTAAAGGAGTGCCCTTTGCCATGCTGATGTTGCTACATGCCTTACTTCTTGCCTATCTCACACTGCAAATTTTTTCTAAGCTCTATACTAAACATTAAATCTGTTATGAAAAAAGAACTAAACAAAATGAACACAAAACGATCAGCTTTAAAAAGGGACTCGTAACTGGAAAAACCAAATGAAAAAAGAATGTTAACAACAAATACTTTTTCACACCCAAACCAGTTCTGTGGAATCAGAATCAACGTTGAGTTTAAGCAAGCGAATGAGCCAACTGGAGTAAAGTGCCATGCAGATTTAAATTTTTCCCACTTGTGACGAATGCAGCTATCGTTTTTTTTTGTATGCTAGCATGCTAGTTAAAATTCATGTTAGTCAGCTGTTGGCTCTCACGCTGGCCAATAGAATCTTCCTCCTGGAGAGTGTATATGTATTCACCCACCTTTACTGTAAAGCCACTAAGTAAAATCCAGTGCAGCCAAATGCCTTCTGATGTCACATGATTAGTAAATTTGGTCCACCTGATGATGACAATTTCTTTTGTGTGAAGGAAAGAGAGTTAAAACCCTTGATTCTGCACATTTCACTTTATTGCACCTGTTTCGAGAGGCCTCAGAGGTTTCTTAGAAAACATTGCCAAACAAACAGCACCATAAACACCAAAGACATCACCAGACAAGTCAGGAGTAAAGTTCTAGAGAAGTATGAAGCAGGGTTAGGGTATTTAAAATGTCCCAAGTTTTGAACAACTCAAAGATCACTATTAAATTCATCATCTGAAAAAGGAATGAGTACAACACAACTGAAAATCTACCAAGAAAAGTCCTTCTGCCTAAACTGACAGGCCAGGCAAGAAGAGCATTAATCAGAGAAGCAACCAATAGGCCCATTGTAACTCAGGAGGAGCTGCAAATATTAACAGCTCAGGTGGGAGAATCTGTCCACAGGACACCTATTAGTCATGCACTCCACAAATCTGGTTGATATGGAAGAGTGGCAAAAAGAAAGCTATTGGTGAAA